AAGAGTCGTAAATGTGAACTCTTAACCAAAAATGGAGGAAGGAATGTTCTGGAACATACTTTTTGAAGAAGACATGCAGCCACGATTTGAAATAAGAAAGAACATTTTTTAAAAAAAAGACCCATTTTCCCCTAAACCTGTCTTTTCTTTGCCCAACTGCTGCTCCTCCAATCTCAAGGAGAAACTCTGCTGTGAATGAGTTGGGACAGTGTTAGCCTGGAGATACAGAAACTCCAAAGCATGGGAGGGCTTCCCTGTTTGCCTCAGCCAGTCCTCTGGCTTTGGAGGGCTTAACATTGACAAAGGAAAGTCCACACAGCCCTTGGTTGTGCCCCTGGTTGATTTTTAATTGCCAGTACCCCTCCATGTTTGATGTGGTCACTAGATATTCCTCCAACCGATACTAGCTTTTGCTCTCAACAGTCTGCAGCCTGTCTATTCCATATCTACGCATGGCATCAGAGCTGAAAAACACCAGCTGAACTGTGGTGTGCAGAACGGTTGTTAAGGAAGGAGAGTCCCAAACGGACGCTGATGGACGAGAAAGGGAGGAGGTGTGTGTCAGGAGAGCAGTCAGGTGTCATTGCCAGTCCGTCAATAACCTCAATAGCCAGAATGATCCCTCAGTGATGTCCCGTGTCAGGCGGAGCCCAGCCTTTATAGACCCATATCGATCAGTCACAGATGTGAGCTGCTTAGGAAGGAACAGAGCAGGGGCCTGAGGACAGACAGCATGGCCGGCCAGTGGCCAGCAGGCAGTGCTTCGTTATAGGAGCCAGGGCAGTACATTCTCAGGCTAGCTACAGGCCACACTAAGCCTCTTTGATTTGCTTTTAAGTGTAGATTCTGGAAGAATCTCCAGCAAGATCTCTGTTGACTTACCTTCTTAGGAGAAACTTACAGAGGCGGGGTATGGGTACATGACTCGGAGGCAGAACAGCTGCCTGGTCATGCAGGACTTCCTGTATCTGAGAGCTAGGACCTTACAGAAAGAAAATGAGAGAGGGGGGTTGAATGCCAACATCTTTGGCTGTGCTGCTGGACGCAGGGCTACAGCTGGTGTCCCCCAGTTCCCACTATACTGTCCAGTCTGCTCTTGCCCTCAGCGATGTCTCAGCTATTCCCAGGGGCTTTACTGAGAGGTGTGAGCCCCTCATCTTCCATCTAGGGTGACTACACTTGGCTATTACTATCTACACCTAACAGAGACATCTCAGGGGTCACCTCCATTCCACACTTCTCTTCCCCAGCGTGACAGCAGCTGGACAATCCCTTTCTCTTCCTGGTTAGACACCTCCCCCGCACCAGGAGGGCAACTGCTCCTGGTCATCCTTAAAATGCCCAGCTTGAAACTTAGGTTGGATGTGTGATTCAGCTAAGCTTTTGTCATCTTCTCAGACGGAAGTCTCCCTTGAGAAGCAGCTGTTTCGATCTTGAGAGCTTTCACCTAGGGCTTTGGGAAGCACACATGTTCCAAGAGGTTCCTGGGAATTAGAAGTACCACTCGTTGGTTCTCAGACCCTTGGGTCCTCCTCTACGGGGACAGAATACTTTGTAAAGTTGATTAACCCTAAGTGTCTCCTGCATCCTGGAGAGTGGCATTCTGTTCTTGTATCTCTGAGTTGGTCCTGTGCCCGTAACAGGCCACACGGACTTCCTGTGAGCCTAGGTGAGTCACATGATGTAGTCCCCTGGTCACAGCCAGGTTTCATACCTTTACTCTGTATAAAGATCTCCAGTCCATTGACAGTGACACATGATACCCAGTGCTGATAAAGAAGCACTCTGGGAGTACTCTGGTGGCACTTCTGAAGATCTCTGTAGTCAGAACAGGCAGGGTATCTGTCTATTTCTACTAGAATGAGCCACCGGCCTTATTAAGGTGAAAGAAATCCATTGTGATCAGTTTGTTGCAAGCTCAGACTTGTCCGTTGTGGCAAGTTGGAGATTTGTATGGTAGAAGCAGTAATTCTGAAAACTTTGACAAATGAATGCCTACACCATCAGATCCCTTCACAGCCTTCACCTTTCCTACCACTGAGCCAGCACTGGGTGGCCAATGACTGAGTCATCTTGTGTATTAGGTCACGAGGCACCTCTTCGGTGGGGAAGAAAGGATGGTTTTCAGAAAACAAACACGAAATATGACAGACATCATTCTCTGTCTATTGTCCACAGATGCTCCAACATGCCTCTGCATCAGACCCCATCCCAAGCTTTCCAGGCCTTCCAGGTTCCTAACACCAGACGAGCTATTTGGTGCTGCCTGAGGGGCCATCTATATTCTGACTTGGCCTGCTTTTCTTCACCCACAGAGTGGGCGAGCAGGTGCCCTGCCCTCCGTTCTGCCCACTATGAGGCTTAGCTTACACGATTCTTTCAAGACTACCCATGAGCGAGGCATTATGGGGCTGCCATTGTTTAGGTGACATATCTACACAAAGCCCATTTGAACATAAACTCAGCTTGGTCATTTTCTTCTTGGTGTTTGATCTTATCTGGAATCCCTAACATAGCATGGGCATGAAGTGGTAAGTGCCACTGGTCTATGAAAGCCTCTGGTTCTGCCTGTGTACAACTGGATATTCCTTCTCCATCTTCAGATGGATTCTTGCTGCCCCATGCCACTGAATCTCACCTGCTCTTCATCACAGAGATGATCTTAAAGGGTAATGTTTTGTATTGTTTTTTTCTCCAGTCAGGGTCTCACACGGCCCAGGTTGGCTTTGACTTTACCATGTAGTTAAGTGTGATCTCGACTGTCTGATCCTCCTGCCCTATGTCCCAGGTGCTTAGATTACCCACATGCACACACCATACCCAGTTTATGTGGTTCTGGGGATCAGCTCAGGGTCTTGTGGATGCCAGGCAAACATTCTACCACTGAGCTCCATTCTCAGCCCAATAGAGTGTGTTGTTTGTATATGGTGAAAAGTCACTGGTAGCCTATTCTCTAGTTAGATGGAGTAGTAGTTAAGTAGTGGACTGGTTCCACATCTCTACTGTGCTGAACAGCATTCCTCCAAAATTCATGTTGAAACAGAATCGGTCATGTGGCTGTCTTAGTTAGTTTTTCTACTGCTGCGATAAAACACCACGACCAAAAACAATTTAGAACGGAAAGGCTTTATTTGGCTTACAGGTCACAGTCTATCACTGAGGGAAGCTAGAGCAGGAACCTGGAGGCAGAAGCTGAAGCAGAAACCATGCAGGAGTGTTGCTCACTGGCTTGCTCATGACTTGCTTCGCTGGGTTTCTTATATCCCCAAGACCGCCTGCCCAGGGGTGGCACCACCACCACCAGATCAGGTTTCCCCATATCAAACATCAGTTTGCTTACCCACAGGGCATTTTCATGTGGGCATTAAGAAAACTGAGGTTCCCTCTTCTCAGATGATTGTAGCTTGTGTCATGTTTATAAAACAAGCCAACAAACACACACAACCAACACAGCGGCCTTATCTGCAAACACCGCTGATCTGCAGATGGGATCAAGTCAGAGGGTGAGCGAGCACATAGTGAGCAGAAGGCCACACACTAATAATAAACAGAAGTCCCAGATGTTTATCCAAGAGCCAGGGCACATGGGGGACGGCTAGAAGATGCAAGGGAAATTCTCCCTGAAGCTCACAGGATGCGTGGCTCCACCACCTTGATCTTCATCTTCTAACTTCTACGATTGTGAAATCATGTATTCCTTGTGTTTTCAGCCAGAAGTCTCTGGCAGTTTGTTAGGACCACACCAGAAAGCTAATTTAATATCTCGCACAATCTAGTCATTTACCTCGTTATCTGGGAGGGATTATTTACTAAAGAACATTTACAACATTGTACGTTTTATCTATCCCAACTACCACATATTAGATACACAATTTCAATTAGTTAAAATGAACAGGCAAAGAACACAATGCGGTAAACATTACAACATTTGAAACTGGCCTTGTGTAAGAAACATACTAACACATCTCTGCCCCCGTCTCAAACAAGAAACAACAGAGAAGCTGGGTGAATTATTCCATATTATATGAATATTTCACTACTGATCTGTAAAGAGACAAAAGTCTTGGCATTCATTGATACGAACTTCACTCATTCAATCCTGTTCTGAAAGAAATTACACACAAGTCTCAGTTGGTAACAATCATTTCACGAGAATAAATCAGCAGCTGACATGGCGCAGCGTAAATGGATGATCTGTGAGCATGCAGCTACATATTAACTGCTTTTCCAAAGTTCAGCTACACAGCTAAAACATGAGCTTTGGGACTGTCTGCAATTCTGGGGACAGGTTTTGCACATCTAGTGTAGGGGAGATCTAATGTTATTACAAGTCGCCACTGTTAAAGCCTCAGCCCGTGCAACAGAACTCACGGATCACCTCCATGCCTAGCCTGACTCGAGCGCTTCCCCCGCACGACCCTAGGCAATGGGCCTCTCATCTGTAGAGAACCTGGGGCATCTACTGTTTCTCTCAATGGCATTCGTCATTCACTTGTTTGTAAATTCAGACCCAGGAACAATTCCGAGAGCATGTCCCCAGCTTGGCGGCACTTCAACTTCATTATTTTGTGCTACCGAAACATTCTGACAACCAGATTCCCCGAGAAGCCCGGGTCTACCACTGTGTGTTGTGTGGAGGTGTGCAACAGAACAGAGCGTGGGTGGGGCAATAATACCTCGGTCCCTTTGGTGCCAAAACCCAAACACTTTGGTTGTTCTTCTTGGAATCATTGTGGCATGGGATTTTACACTAGAACCCTGGGGAGGAGAAGACTCGAGAGAGAGGCCGACAGAATCAGGATGAACAACGTAACGGTTCTAAGTTCAAGAACACAACCAGTTCTCACATTTAACAAGTCAGAGGTGAGAGCAAAATTTTCCAAACACTAAGCCAGCACAGACACTGCAGACACTATGATCACAGTTGGACACTTCCAGTTGGAAACGGGAACAATACAATTTCCAAAAGAAAAAAAAAGGAAGGGAGGGAGGGAGGGAGGGAGGGTGGGAGGGAGGGAGGGAGGGAATAAGTTAAAAACAATTAATTTTCATGGGCAAATTCCAATAAAGGGTTTCTGCCACAGGAGCTCCAGTTTTGTTTTACATGGTCAGATGATGTCATAAATGTCAAGAAGACACGAACTGGTAGTGCGTTAAACTGCTTGCTCAAAGGGCTTTTAGCCTCTTTTTAAGATGACATTGAAGATCATAGTAAACGAGATGGGTGTTGTATTCTAAGTACCAAGGTGAAGTTGAATTTCAGTTATTGGCAAGAACAATAAAATACATTATCACTGCAATCATAAGACCTTCCTAATAAAAAGATTTCACACCATAAAATGTACTTTTTTAAAAAAAACAAAAAACCCACACCTTGAATGAGTGAAGCGGAAGCAGAACTTGTCACTGGGATTTGCTCAGCAGGGTCTTGTCTGTCAGGATGCTCACCTTACAGACTAAGCAGCCAGCTCAGGACAGCAGTAATGTCTGAGTATTCCAATCCATATTCCCAAAATGTGCTGGAGGTCAGGAACTACACCCATAATTATCAGACAGGAAATTCCCAGTTGACTACACACAAAACCTTGCTTAGAAAACAAGTTTGGCTGTGTGTTTGACATCCCAATGCACACATAGTTTCAATGCATTTTGATTACACTTTCGGGGTGTTTATAAATATATAGTCTCAAAATAGCTGCTATTCTCAGTCTTTTCTATACACAAGATACATATTGCATTTGTAACACTCATTTAATTACGACATGCAATTTACAACACCTGGAATTACAGCAGGACATGAAACACGAACACAGCTCTGTCCAGTAACTATGACTTCGTGGGGACAGAGTGGACAATGATTCACTTCTTTAATGATCCACTGCCTAGCAAGTGGCACACACGTTCTCCATCTCTCATCTCAAGACACTGACTGGGAATGTCATCACCTTCTACACCTATGTCACATGTCAACCGTGTGTGTCCCATGGTGGTAGTGGGCTGGACTCTTGAAGTGCCTGCTCTGAAGAGGTTTTCTCATGAGGCTTCCCACTGTACCTTCCACTGGGGGTTCAGACTAACTTTGAACAGTGTCAAGAGTCCAGCAGGCAGACTTTGAATGTGTGAGAAAACCGGTATTTGGCGTCTGTCCCGTGTATCACATTACTGACAAGCATTTTACAAAGAGCAGGGAGGAGGAGGGGCCCCTGTCCCTGCCTGGAACTCATAAACACACAGGGTCTTCCAGCAACCTTGACGCAGAGGAAACTCAGTTATCTCTCTGTGCGTTGTTAGCCATCTCTTGGCGACTGTTCATCTTGCGTGTAATGATGACTAGGATTCGCCGAATGGCAAGCAGCCGCTCTTTCAGGGAGGCCATGCCAAGAACGGCCAGCTGAGCCTTGCGTTCCAATGGCAGCACGGCCAGAATCCACCAGGACCAGGCGGGGCCGCTAGAGTTGCTCTGTGAAAGACACGAGGGGATCAGCATAATTAATGTCCACAACACAGGCTGGTCCCTAATTCAGCTTTTTGTGTAACCAACAAATAAAGGCAAGGATGCCACCTTCTGCTGTAGGAACAGGTCATAGTTCATCAGGCCCTGAGAACGCAGAGTTCCTGTTGAACATGAGCCACATATTCCAAGGTGCGAGGAAAGGACATGAAAGGAAACTTGCCGAGAGCAGCTTGTTCCACAGAGAAACTCCATGAATTTATCCATCTCTGTTCTCCCAAGTGTCCAGATAACGATGCACACCCACCAGAAAGAAAGATCATAAATGTTACCTCCAGGTGCCAATACTGTATGCCTTTCAAGTTTTAAGTGGGCTAGCTAAGGTATACTGTTATAAAGGTCAAAAGTATTTGGACAAGTTTGAGTGCCACGGGAAAGCCGAACTTAAAGTCTAAGTGGCAAGGTGTGTGTAACACACGTATGTACACACATCACTAGATGTGGTAACTATCGTGAATTTATACGTGTGAATAACACACTTAAGTTTTGTTTAGGTACATGTGTACATGCACGTTAGTCTTTACTTCACATAATCAAATGAGCATTCTGGGCTGAACTCTAAGCCAACGTCGATTCTCAGCCGGTTTCTGTTTCTGGTGCTGGAATAAAGACATTTAAGTCTAAACCCGTTTGCTTACAAAGTTCGGATTCTCTTCTCTTCCCTTTAGAGAGGTACCAACCGGGAGCTAGGGAGAATAGACCCCAGTGGCTTTAGCTTTCAAGTTCAATAACTTAACTGGAGGGTGAGAAATAACCCATGAACCAATGCTCAAAGGCATCTCAAGTAACTGCCAAGAAGATCCTGGCCTGCCCTTCAGAGGTGACCTATAATCTCTGAAGATGCTAGAGAAACACTACGGGACTCAAATTTTTACCTTCCCTTATCCCACAAGACAAAATGCTTAATGAGAAGCACCTTACAAAGAATATCCTCCCTTAACTAAAATCCTTGTCATTGCAGGATAATGGTCTCCAAAGATCTCAGTGTCTGTGACTGTAAGTGGAAATGGGGCCTTTGAAGATATGACCAAGTTACTACAATGGGAAGATTATCCTAGTGGACCGATGGAGCCATGTGGATTCTTCCAGTACTGTGGTCAGGGGAGATGTAACATAGAAGAAAGGGCTGGAACTGGAGCGTTGCTGGCTTAGCAATGCCAAGGAAGGCTATCTTCAGAGGCTGACGATGTCAGAAGCAGTCTCTCCTACAACCGCCAGGGGGCGACTGCACTGCCATTGCTAAGGCAAAGCACACCTGTAGGGCTTCTGACCCACACATTCTGTCAGGTAAACACTGGCATTGCTGCAGCCATTGTGTTAGTGACAATGCGTCACAGCAGGGGTAGGAAGTAAGTCCACCCACCAATTAGAGATTAATTTGAATTGATTAGTCTAACTACCTTCCTTTTGAATCTTGACACAGTACAGTGGGAAAAGGGCGAGGTAAGAAGGGGTGGCCAGGAAGGACGCGGAGGTGATTTTAGAATCTAAAGCAGGGCCTAAACTTGCGCTACTGATGATTTTTTTAAACTAAGAATTTTTTACAACTCTAGGCACAGAGGTACCCTGCATCTGCTAATACAAATCAAACATTTACTACTAATAAATCATAAATATAATTATTCTTAAACAATTCTTTTATATACACATAATTGTACCGTCTATTAAAGATGAAAGTAAGTTCAACACTAATTAGATATATGTGATTTCTTATTTTTATACACAAAAAATAAATCTTGGCTGAAATACTGAATACAGAGCATTGTCAATGTTTTTCAGCACCAAACAATATTCTGAATTTACATAGCTATCAATGTTGAGAATGCCAACTTCATATAAATACAGCATGTTTGGAGCCACTTCAGAAAATGCTGGAAATATTGTCCTAATCCCAAGCCAAACTTTATTTATTGATCTTTTTTTAAATGAGATTCAAGCTAGCAACTGTCCTGGTTAGCGTCACCTGTTCACACTGGCCCAGCCTGGAATCATCTGAGGGATTCTCAGTTGAGGGATTACCTAAGTCAGAGTGGCCCGTGGCCACAAGACAGTCTCTGAAGCACTGTCTCTTAGCAGTAACTGATATAGCTGGGCCCAGCTCACTGTGGGTGGCACCATCCCTAAGCAGGTGGTCTGAATTATAGAAGAAATCAGCTGACCATGAGCAGTTAGAAACCAGTGAGCAGTGTCCCTCCACGGTTCTGCTTCAGTCCCTGCTCAACTTCTTGCCCTGGTTTCCCTCAGCGATTAGTTGGGACCTAGAAGTGTAAGCCACATAGACCCTTTCCTCCAAAGTCTCTTTTGGCCAGCGGACTTCATAAAGCAACAGATAAGAAACTAGACGAGCAAATCAAACAACTTTTCAAGTCAAGCCCTCTAATCCAGAGATGCCCTGCTGTGACAGAGACCGGGAGCGGTGGCAGGAAAGCACCGAGTCTTCGTTTTCTGCAAATTAAACCACAATGCTGCTGTAAAATGCAGAACATTATACACACAGGGAAAAAAACACTGCAATACACAACACACACGAGTCTTGAATCTTGAGTCAACATGATCCAGGCAGCATCCACTGGCACGGTGTGGCAAGACAGCATGGGCAGTGCAGAGCACACGCTCCGTGCTCAGAGCCAAGGCTGCAGTGAAATCCAGGCAACAGCACAAGCAAATGCTGCCAAAACACCTCGAATCCACTAGGCACTAAGTTCTGAATTAATTTTTGATCACTGTGCGCTCAGACACCTTTCCTGCCGGCAAATTTTTCTTAACTCTTTCATTCAGTTGTCTGATCCCTGTAAGGAGTTGCAAGGCACCGTTCAAGAAACTTGCGCTTTAAAGCACACTTCTGAGTCTGAGAAACAGCACTGATGCAGAGGGGAAAAGAAAGATGCACAACAAGAGCCGGAAGAGAGAAACATGGGGAAAGGCAAAACACATTTTGCTTTATATGAAACATGTTGAAAGTTGGTCCTTCCCACTACATACACAATTTCTGCCCATATGTGAGCAGCTGGAAGGAACTATGTACTTTGTAACCATTCTGCACCTGAGCGGCTCTGTCATTAGATGGTGATGCATTGGCACTTAGATACACACCGCAAACGGCCCCATTTGCTTCCCGAAGGGTCAGTTGCAACAAAAACTACTGGGCGGTCAGTAAGGACCTAAGGCTTCCAAGACAGCGATGGCCGTGGGGTTTTCCCTTCAGGTACTCAACATCTGGCTTGGCATGCGCAAGACAGAGATGAAGCATGGTGTTCTGAGCTAACGGAAGGATTTTTGTTTGAGGCGATCTTGCGCACGGATAGAAAACGTTGCTGATCTATCGACTCTGCTACACAAGGCACAGGCTGCTGTACTGGGTCTCCTTTGGGAAGCTAGGACTCAAGCTGGCTCATGATCACAACGGTACACAGCGCTGCACTGCTGAGTTTATCACAGAGTGCTGAGCCTTGTCACATTACCATGGGAAACAAGAGCATGACAAGAGAAGGGAAGAAAGCCTACCTGCGGCTCAGGCTCCCTCTCTGGCATCGACCCGAAATGGCTTAGAATTTGTTTCTTCATGTGATCCTGGAGAGAAGCGAACCAGGAAACAGCCTGCTGGTACACGGACTCATGGAGGGCGGTAAGTTCTTCATACTCTGGACCTTCCACCTGGCCAGAAAAGAGAGAGAGACATTTCAGTAATCCATGCAAACACAGGCCTCTGCACACTGGTGACCTCTGACAAGTTAGGTGGATTTGTGACATTTACTCCTTCACTAATGACACAAAATGACATGTTTACTATAGAAATGATCGCTTTTTAATAAGCCTGAGATCTGCGAATTGCACCCTGGTTCTTCTCTTAAGATTCTAATGTGAGCGCATATCCAACGTTATAAATAACTCCTCTGGGTATGTATGGTATACAGATTATGTAGTCGATGTATCATAAGTTATTTACCCATATACATAAGACACATTTTGAACATCCTGACATTTTATTTTAAAATTTTTTTAAATGATTTTTAAAATGTTAGTAATATAAATAAGTATGCAGAGGAACCAGCAAGACAGCAACACCAAGTAAGAATGTGCAGCACCAAGCCTGCTGGTAAAAGAACCCTCATGGTAAAAGGAAAGTATATATTCCTGCAGGTAATCCTCTGACCTACACACACACACTGTGCTGTATGGTATGTGTGTGCACATACACACAATATAACAAAGAAATAAATACACACAAGGGAACTTTTCGTTGGGTGTTGCAGAACAAGGAATGAGGGCTGGTATTTTACAAACCATTTTCCTAACAGCAATTCACACTCCAGGAGCTGTGCTGGGCGGCACTGTGACCACCACATTAACTACTGCTGTGTGCCGTGCCTGGCATCTGATACTCCTCACTGTCCAGGCAACCATTAGGCTCCCCCTGAGCCCTGCACAGGATGGTCTGGCAGAACATGGTACTAGTGGTTGGGCGTGTCTTGGCTTCATTGTTGGCTATCATGGACGTGTGTCAGTCAAGACCACAGCCTTGTAAAGCAGAATAAACCACCCAGGTCTTTTCTGGATCGAAAACTCTCGAAGCTATATAAAATCTACAGAAACTGTAACCGACAGAAAGAACCATCATAGGTTTGACTTACACAGATTAACCTTCATATGTGATTGGGATTTTCTTTAAAATTGCTTCATAAGCAGCTTTTAAAGCCAGTTTTAAAGTAAATCCACACTGCACTAAAAATAAGGTGTCGTTGACAGCAATACCAATAACACTTCATTAGATCTGTTGTCGGTTTCGTAGGACGAGCCTGAGAACTTCCATATTGGATCAGTCTTTGCAGCCAGCCCCATGGTCCAGGGGCCTTGGAGGTGGGCACCCTGAGGTCACTTGATCTTTGAGGCTCTCAGGGCCTGTAGCCACCAGAAGTGGCATCTGGGAGCTGACGGAACCAACCAGTGTTCTGAGCATGATCCCACTTGAACAAACGTGTCTACGTCTCCAGTGTGACTTCTAGTGTGATGTGACAGGGTACATGCTTTTATATCCACATTGCAGATTTCCAGCAAAAATGGAAAAGAGGGATACAATAATCCAAAGTATTTTCTCTTACTAAGCATTCCTAATTTTGTTATAACGTAACTTATAGACCTAAAGCACCCCGCCCCCTCTGCCACAGATATTGTTGGGCTCAAGGGATCCTGTCAACGGTACAAGGCAGCGCAACCATCACACCAGCACCCTACGCCAGACAGAGAACACTGCTACTACCCAGAAAGACTCCCCAGCCCCGATCTATTCCCAGTCAGGTGAAAAGTCCACCTTGCAATTCCGACTTCTGTCTCCAGGTCACGCTTTTCCTGTTTCTGGAAGTGGTCAAGAAAACAACGCTTTTGCCTGCTGTCTGTGTGCAGCGAATACGCAGTGTGAAGCCTCCCATGTTTGGCTCCCGTCTCTGCCTGGCTGTAGACTCACCCGTGCTGTTGGAATACTAGTTCATTAGGTTTTGCCTCTGATAAATCTCCACCGTAGGATGAGCTGGAAAAGCTCATCCATCTGCCCAAGGGGCATCTAGACCACTTCCACTTTCAGCTACTGGCGAGGCAGTATGGACATCTCTGAACATCTTCACGAGGACCTGTTCAAAACACTTTGCTTATCTGTCAGAATATGTGTACTGGTTATTTCTGTGAGATAAAAATAATTCTCGAAGGGGGAGAGATTTTTATGTTAGCTTTGGAAGGCACTTTCAAGCACGACTGTTTTATGTTCGACCTCACTCTGGACCATACGAGGAATCACTGCTGGGACCTAAACGCTGGCCATCACCACATTGTTGGCCCTTTCCCCCGAGGTATGTATTTTATATGTATGAGTGTTTTGCCTACGTGCATGTCTGTGCATTTCTGGGGAGGCTGGAAGAGGGCATCTGCTTTCTTAGAACCTGAGATACAGGAGGTTACATGCCACCATGTGAGTGCTGGGAATGGAACCTGGGTCCTCTGGAAGAGAAGTCAGTGCTTTTAACCACTTAGACATCTCTCTGGCAACTCCCACCACGTCTTAATAAATAATATTGTATTGAAAACCAGTCTAACGTATGGCTTACTGCTGCTTATTAATCCTAAGAATCGAAACTAGTTGCAGCAGAGACCGCTTGCAGGGTCTAAAGCACAATCATCAGTTAGTGTCTATGGGGAACCGAGCCAGAATATCTCCCGCAGATACCCAAGTCCATATAAAATGATGGACCACTGACATAAAGCCCACACATGTCCATCTGAGTTATCTATAGATTGCTTGACCTACTAGAAACAGCTATTACACTCTATTGTTTTGTTTTGGAGATAGGGTTAGGCCATGTTGCCCCTGCTGGCCTCACACGTGGGCTCCATCATTCCCTCTTCTTCAGTCTAGAGCATCTAGGATTACAGGTGGATGCTACGTGCAGCTATACCCTGCTGTTTAGGGAATAATGATAAGACAAACATGTCTATACATTTTTAGAGGCATAGTTATTTTTGTAATGCTCAAGGCACTATCAACTGACTCTATGAAGAAACCAGAGACAGAATTGTCACCTGATATGTGTCTGGTCTTTATAGGAAAAGTGTGGCAGTCCCCAGACTCGAATATCAAACATGGAACCACAGGCCCAGGCTCCCAAGGGCATTTCAATTTAGGAGATTTCTCTACTAATTTTAACTCACGTGAAAATGCGTGTAGAGTCCAAGTGCTGGATTAGGATGGAAATACAAATTTCCGTACGCTGTACGTACAACGGAGGGGAAAGCAAAATGAGCGACGCCGGTGAGGCCCTGTAAAATGACCCTCACCTTCTCGTCTTCCAGGTACTCAATGTCCGCGGTGTTATAGCCGTCTCTGTGGCGGTGGTTCAGCACTCTGAAGCGGCTAATCCCGACTGCCTCCACAACGGAGCTTCCATCGGGGAAAGTTCTGACGTCCTTTATCTCCAGCATGCAGCCGTACTCCGAAATCCTGAAAGGACGGGCGGGGAAAGAGGCAACTGTGTGTTTAACATTCAAATGCCTTCATCTCTCCTAGTCTGGCTTTCTAAAGGAACGCAAAACCAGACTGAAGAGCGGGTGGCCCTACATCGGGTCAGCAAGGTTATCATCCAATGTGATACTGTGCCCTTCTGTTGAGTACGGCCTATACTAGAGATGGAGATGGGTTGACAGAGGCCTCAGGCCTCAGCATCAACTGAGCGAGAGCTCTAGTAGGATCTGAGGTATGGGAAGAGACCAAATCTTAAATGTGGTTCTTTAGCCACTTGATCAGGCCGTGTTGAGGGTCCAGTACGCACAAGATTTGGTGTGGCTCAGACACTCTGCTCCTGGCCCGCAGAGAATCTCCCCACTTTCACGTGCACTGCCCAATCAAAGTCCTGAGGCAGGCAGTCTACAGTCACTGCCTGTCTCGCTGCCTCCCTTTTACATCCCACCACTCCACGTATAAGCCCAACAGAAGCTACAGATACCCTCCAGGTGGCCACAGTCAGTGGGCATGTCCTGCCACTGAACTAACACCCTCTACGCTTTTCTACCCTCGGTGACCTCTCTGGTCCTCCACACTGCTTTCCCTGCCTGCTTCTCACACACTGGGATACCCAGGATTCTTAAGTCACAAACCACTTTGACATCTGATAAAGTCTTCCCTTCCTGGTTCCCTAACAGAACAATCTCGTTCCCACTTGTGGTGCGCACATACATAGAAGCGGCCAGAAGATGTCCTGTGTTTTTCTAGCTTTGGGCAAACAACCTCTGAATGCCAGCTCTCCCACGTCTGCCTCAGCTGCAGAGCCCATCCCATCTAGGAGCATCTTACCTGGTCTGTGGACAAGAACCCTTGAGTGGGGCAAACGCCTCTTGCCTGCAGCTCCCAGCAGAGGCAGCCTCATGCTGCTCCACAAAGGGCCATCGGTGTGCTTTTACAAACTACCTCAATTCAAGCACACTGCTATCCCTCTGGCTTCCCTTCCTGCTCTATGCTAGCGGGACTCGGGTGCCCTCTGCCCTCTGGTGTGTTTGAGAAGTCTTGGAGTAACTGCTGTAGCTTTCGTCACGCTACTTCTACAGACCTCTGATGAACCAAATCATAACATATGCTAATTTACTAAGCCCTTGCACACGATTGTGCATGTTCAGCGTCTTATGTTAAAAAATCTTTGCTTGCTCCCAATTGTGAAAATAATCTCTACTATTTTCTCTTAATCTCTCTTTTACATTTTCCGATTCACAGTTTTCACAACAGGAATCTGTTAGAAACATATACATAGTAACACAAAGAAGGGAAGAGGCTTTTGCTGTCCTGCTGAGACTGCCCACTACTTTGATTGGCAGCTTTAACTGGTGTCCTCTCTCCTTCATGCAATTACATGACTCTGGAGTTCATATTTGAGCAGGTCTGATCTCCATGTTCTGACGGCAGCTTAGGATTCTGATATGAGGAGACTGTCCTTCTTTCTGGTCATTTGATTTGTTCAAAACTATCTGGTCCTTTGCTGTCACACTGATTCTAAAACGGGTAAATAAAATCCTTTTGGGATATGAATGAAATGAAGGAGCTGTATACAAACGACCTCCTATGGAAATCGAGTCTTAGCATCCACTAACACTGGCCTTTCAGGTACAGCTTCATAGATGTGAATCGGTCAAGTTTTAGGATTTTCTTCATACATGTGTATTCTCTTAAAAAATTGATTTACCCCTGGGTGTTTATAGTAGGATCTGTTCAGTGGCTCTTAAAACACATTATCCTCTTTCTCCCGGGCACACGGACAGACTATGTGTCCCGCGCCCTCCTGCACAGCAGGTGACAGCATACAGGAGGTGACCTTTTTTCCCTCCAGAATCCTCTAGGGGGGTGCATGTACCACCAACTGCCATTTGGATATGACACCATCATGGTCAAGACCACGGTGCACTGGAAAAACCTCTCATAAGACAAGAAGGGACTCACATTCTGAAATCAAGCCTCAGCAGCCCGCTGCCTCCCAACATCCTCTCCAGACAACTGAGGTGAAGCAATAAGAAGTGAAAACAGGTGGCTGGAGAGATGGCTCAAGGTTTAAGAACATTGGCTATTCTTCCAAAGAACCTGGGTTCAATTCCCAGCACCCACATGGCAGCTCACAACTGTCTGTAACGCCAGCTCCAGATGACCTGAGGACACCGTCACACAGACACACATGCAGGCAATATATCAATGTATATAAAAATAAATAAATCTTTAAAAATATAAGTAAACAGGTGGCCTGTTTTGGTTTGCATAAAACCAAAAACCATGAGCTTATACTTTTTGAAAAGCAATTTGAATGACTAACGATTTCCAGGTATCACCTTTAGCTGCTCTTCAGGACAAAGAGGAAGTTTGCCCTTGAACAGGAGCCTCAAGACGCTGTTTCTTACCCTGCATTCTCTGCAGACAAACACATGCCAAATCGCTTGGTGCCGGTTTCCATGCATCTTCTTATCATGAGCCGATAGCGAGGCTCAAAGACATGGAGAGGGCAGGAAACCGTGGGGAAGGCCATGGCACACACAAAGATGGGCACATCTCTGGTCAGGCTGCAGAGCAAGGGGAAACGTTAGCTTCGATGTGTAAGTTGTTCAGAACAGAAGCGAGCAGTTGCTATAGCAGCCAGAGCTGCCGGAAGAACAGCATCTGAGCCTGACTCAGGGCTAAGTGTGCGATGACGTCTCCACTCAGCCAGTTTGCAGCCAAGGCTGTCCTCTTTAATGTCATGTTTGATGATGAGAGAGCATCCTGTGTTATAGTACTGTGCTTGCAAAACACACAGCTTTGGATTATACTTAAAATATTGCACAAAGCAGAAAGTACACAGTAGACAAAGGCATCAAGTTTTACATAAGACGTGGATCGACCAGGTCTACATGGAAACACACACTTTAACCAGCTGGAGAGAGGAAATTTCCATGAGTCATAATCCTGCTTCCTGTTCTGATGTTTGCTCTTCCATTTAGAAAGATGTTCAGACACAGAAAGCAAATATACAACTTTCAAAAAACAGATTTTGAAATATTTCTTATGACTTACACTTATAGACCCACAAATATTTTCCAACTAACTTTTTCTATTTAAAGGCCAAAAAAATTCTATTATGAAAAAAAAACCCCAAAATCTAAGATAAGGCGTCAGTGAAGATTGTCCTCAGTATTCTGCACCGAAGCCCGACTTCCTGTGATAGAATCACTTACTTCGATAGTTCCAACATTTCTTCATCGTGAATCCTCTTCCTATCAGACAGCTCATCTGGTAAGTACCGGAGTATCAATTCTTCCGCCAGAACAGTGACATTAAAATTTCTGGTTGCCAACAACTGTGACAATAAAAGTCATGTTAAATGATACCAAGTGGTAATTACTTCCACAGGACGATGATCACCACTGAGCTGGCTCTTGTTCTGTACATGTGAGAAAGGGGTGGCCGGGCATTTGCTGTTTGGGTGACAAGTGCTCCCTGGCAATACAATAACAACTGGGCACTTGAAGATTTTGTTCTCAAGGGGCTTTTATTTAGTGAACGACCAGGATGTTCCTGTATTTTTCCTTCCATTATGAGTTTCTGGTCAGCACACAGAGCGATGGGTATTACTGTGACATTTTCATCCATGGACATGATGTACAGGTTTTGCGTCTTCACCCAGCCCTCATGAGACAGTGGGAAAAGTGCAAGCAAAAGGCTTGTGTTACAAACGGTCGCAGAGGCAAGCTTTGGTTCTCATGGACATAGGGAGCGGTCCTCAGGTCCCTGGATCCCGGAAACAAGAGTGCATCAGAGAACCGGGGAGGTGTGCCTGTCAGCAAGAGAAGATACTAGCATGGGGAAGACCATGGAGGAGCTCCCTAGTGAACTGCCGCGTACACTCAGAACGTAAGGCACTGCATAGCACTGATAACCATCCTGCAACCCCTGAAAAGTCTAGAAATCTGCAATGTGAATGCAATTTAATAATGCAAGTGCATCATGCAACATAAGGTAAGTAGATACACGCGATTTAGAGAGGTTTTAATGGTGATGACATTTTTTAACATGCTTTGGCAATGAATTAAAAAGTTATACTCGTTTTATTCTTTTATTTTACGTGTGTGGTTGTTTTCCTTTAATTGATTTTTATTGAGCTCTACATTTTTCTCTGCTCTCCTCCCTGCCTCCCTCCTCCCCACTTCAACCCTTCCCCAAGGTCCCCATGCTCCCAATTAACTCAGGGGAGCTTGTCTTTGTCTACTTCCCATGTAGATTAGATCTATGTAAATCTCTCTTAGTGTCCTCATTGCTGTCTAAGTTCCATTTTATTTCATTTTAACACCCTCTCCTGCCATGTCAGACTTTGGAGAAGTTAATTTCGCCTAGGAGTATGCTTCAGTGTGCGCGCTAGAGGGTGAGAAAGGGGAGGAGAAGGCATGCTATCTAGAAACTGCATGTGTGTGCTTCTGGAAGATAATTAATGCAGAGGTGACCAGTGAGAACAGAGCCAGCACACAGCTCTGCGATGCTATCATTTCATCTCCCTTATCTGCACGCTCAGTACACACGGACTCCAGAGTTTTGATTGGGGTTAAATATCAATAAATAACTCCCATTTATACACCACATTTTACTGACTTTGGTTTCAGACCAAAGGCAGTAGCGATTGATGACTAGAAAGAGCCTAAAAGAGACTGGACCACAGTGTGGAACAACCCGGACACACGCTAGCATATCAGCATGTCAAACGGTTTGGTATGAGTAGATACCCATATATCCTGACAGCTCTTTTCAATCTCACTCAATGATTTATACCTGAAAAATACTTTATTTGGCTACTTCTGCATCTACTGCTTCCTTATACGTTCTGGCTGATGAAAGAGGTGGGAAATGACCCATATTAGATTTTTAAAAAAAAAGTCTGATTTTTAACAAGCAGATAATAGAAGAGATGCATGAACTATCGATCACAGCACAAGAGGGGCCTTCTGAGTTCACAAACCGCTTACTTCTGAAAGCTTGTCCTTGCACAGCGGGCAGTGTGGAGCATGGTCGAGGCAGCGCTCGAGGCATTTCAGACAAAATGTGTGTCCGCACGGCGTGGTGACAGGTTCAAAGAGCAGCCTAGAAAGAAGAGCATGGGTTTCCACCAGGACAGACGCTCCAAAGAGCCGCCTGCTTAAAAGGATGCCCTATGCAGTTTCCTCCAGCCGTGGGGGTCATTTGTATCCACTCCTCTCGTACATACATCCTCGCTAAACTTTTAGAAAATAAATCCATTATTACTGATCTATATTATGCTGGCTAATTTTAAGTTATTTCGACACCAGCTACAGTCATCTAAGGAGAGGAAACCCTAACTGAGAAAAATGTCTTCATAAGATTGGGCTATCAGCAAGCCTTTAGAGCACTTTTTAAATTAATGAATGATGTGGGAGGGACCAGTTGATTGTGGGCGAGGCCACCCCTGGGCTGGTAATCCTGGGTTCTATAAATAATCAGGCTGAGCAAGCCATGGGGAAGAAGCTAATAAGCAGCTCCCTTCCACGGCCTCTGTATCAGCTCCTGCCTCCAGGTTCCTGTTTGAATTCCTGTTCTGACTTCCTTCATTGACAGACTATGGATGTTGAAGTGTAAGCCAAATAAACCTTTTCCTCCCCAAACTGTTTTTGGTCATGGTGTTTTATCATAGCAGTAGTAACTCATATTAACACATACATACACACTCATACACACACACTCACACACACTTATACACTCACATACACTTACATACCCACACGCACACTTACACATTCACACTCACACACACATGCGTACCTAGGTGTGTATATGTGTATCTTCAACAACAGCACCTTGCATACGGTTATAGAATTCACAAACACTTTTCAAAAGACCTATATGAATTCTATACCAGCTCACCTCATGCACAGAGCACACTCAAAGTCAGCCACATCAATCGTGAACTCTGGCTCCTCCAGAGAGTTCACGTTCCCCTGAGGTGAGGAATCCACATCTGAAAAAAAAATTTCAAATGTTGTAACAAACATCCAAACTTCTGAGAAACACCATACGACAAACGTATTTCTGCTGGGCAAAATGTTTCAATATCAACGTGAACAAATGATGCTGAAGAAAAATTCATACAAGACTTGACCAAGGTGTTGTGAATTCAGGGAAAACCATCCAAGGGTTTGTTCTCTTCCTCACTATAAAGCCCCACCAACATTCACTCGAGAAAATAAGCTGGTTCACTCATTTCTTTCTGGATTTTACGGTGTCAAGATCTTTTACAAATTCATCCGAGGACTAACTAATACTCTACCCTTTCGATTTCAGAATATCAAGGCAAGCAGCAGTTAACCGACCTTTCTTGGGAACTTTCTCGGGGGTGTTCCTCTCACATTCATCTTCTGTGTCACTTGGGAGCTGTCTCTTTAGAGTGCTGCTTGGTGCTGCTGGGAAGACGCTTTCCAAAGCCTTTTTGTCCTCTTCACGGTGTAGGCCCAGAATAAAATACAAAACCGAAGAACCGGCCTTCCTGTCTGCATCAGACTTCTCAGATGGATTCTATTGAGAAGGAAAGAGAATCCTGGATATTCAAGAGCCATGGGATACAAGGGAGACAAAACAAAAGAAGCCGACATGCAGTAGCCTTCTTAGAACTCTCTGGAAATGGGCCGTGGGGAAAGTACTTATTGTACAGAGTGAGCCTTGGGCTTGGAGCCTTGGAGCCTTGGGTTTGCATCTGCTTGCGAAAGCTGGGCATGGCAGAGCTGAGCATGTCTGTCACGTCAGTGTGAGGGGAGACAGCCAGGCCAGCTGAAACAGCATGCTCCAGGGTCAGCGAGAGGTCCTGTCTCAGAACGTAAGTGGGAGCAACCGGAGATGACACCCAGTGATTACCCCTAGCCCCACACACAAAACCGATTTCTGAGGAAGAGAGAGGGCCTGTGCTCTCGAGCCCACTGGCTTTGTCAATCAGGTAATCAGATGGGCTTTACGCTTCCCATGGTAAAACGCAGGATAATTTCTTTCCGAGAAGACCAGTCTTCAAATCTATAGCCTATACATCAATGTGTACATTATATATCACATGTTCAGATCTGCCTCTGCTTTCTGTTTTCCCCAAGACAAAATAATATGAGGTCTCCTGATGTTTTGGAGATGTTCCCCAACAGTTTGAGGGGCTCTGGGGCTCCCCTCTGTGCTGTTCCGTGAGTTCTGCCCACTTCATTTAAAAGCTTTAACTAAGCCGGGCGGTGGTGGCACACGCCTTTAATCCCAGCACTTGGGAGGCAGAGACAGGTGGATCTCTGTGAGTTCGAGGCCAGCCTGGTCTACAAGAGCTAGTTCCAGGACAGGCACCTAAAAAACTACAGAGAAACCCTGTCTCAAAAATCAAAAAAAAAAACAAAACAATAAAAGCTTTAACTAGTGTTTACATCCAGTCATGTGGTCCTTGATGCCCCTGGAACTACCAAACAGTAAAGTCACCCAGCAGCAGACATATGCAATTCACACCTCAGAACTGTCCGCATTAGCGTTCCTGCCTTCTTCCATAGGACACTGGGGATTCATCTGGCCATCACCGTGGGCCTCTGCTCCACTTTGGGTAGAAGCTGTCAAATTCGGATGCTCACTTTCTGAAGCTGAAAAGAACACCTCACATATTACCTGTAAATATTTCAAGAAGAGAAAACAACGTTGTAAAAATCCACTGGGTGGTGTGTGGGGGGTCTCTAACATATTTTAGAGGTTCAGAATCAACACAAGCCAAACAGGTCTGTAAAAAATGGCAAAGAACAAACACCATATTCCAGCCACCAATCTCTTAAAATACTAACATTTTGAAACTATACACAATGTGTTACGAACTATAGATTCTAGCCCCTTTCTATCCATCTTACCAATGGAAAATATGGGAATATGCCCAGAGGAGGGAACCCAGAGACCCTTCTCTGTGTGAAAAAAATGTTTCAAAGAAAGCAGGCTGTCCTTAAGTGCCCAAGGTGGGTTCAGACAACTGTGGGAGGAAAAACTGACTTGTGTTCCACTGCAGCACAAAGCAGAGTGCGCTCATCCGCAGAGATCACAGTGTAGGCAGACGGTAGCCGCGTGAGTTAAACCGTGTTCAAACAGGAAACACTGACAAAAGTAAACCAGAAACTCCCAGTCCCTGGAAATGCTACACAAAGACCAGGTGAGTACTGTGAGGCATTGGGCCAGGACTGATTCCTACTGTCAGCGTGACTCAGTACCTTCTGGACCATGCTGGTGAAGCGTTGCTGCACATCCCAGGTCAGTCTGTGGGGCAGAACTCCTTCATAAGCCAAACTCTAGGATAATGACAAACCCAAGGATCTCCACTCTGTCTCCACAGCCGTGTGCCGCAACCTGGCCTCACATGTCAACCTCTCATCACAACTGAGGCAGTGTACATGACCTCCGCAGACATTCTGCTGCATATCTAATTAGAGGTCATCAAATGGGGCACGTGTGACTACGGTGTCGCTAATCGCACTGTTGTGGGCATTTGAAATTACACGTGTTGTTCTTACAGGCAAGGGCTCCCGGCACGACACAATGCCACACGTAACACCTGAGGGAGGAAGTCATTCACGAGAACACATACCTTCTGTGTTTCTTTCCTTGCTGAGTTACATTCAGGATTTAAAGCAAGGCAGTAGATAAATTCCTTTAGCACTTCTTTACTTCTTCCCAATCCAGAAAGAATCTGAGCTTTTACATGGTGCCCCTGGATTTGCCCAAAGACAAACACAGCAAGATTATCTACATCTGGAGACAACAAGCCCCGGAAAATGTGTTAGAACGGTTTGCTACATCTTCAGATTAGGTGGATGTGAAACCGTTCTTAAGACAAGACTCACTGTTTAATAAATACATCTGCAATCAGAATGCGCTTATCACTGTAACTGAGGTTTGTGCCCAAAGAAGTTCTAAAGGACATGCTAAGAAAGAAATGGAATCTATCAACCTAATTTTATTTTTTATGATATTTACAAAATTTATATAATTTACAAAAACTGCTGAATAGCTAAGAAATTAAATGTCTAATATATTTATCATTAATCTTAAAGCAATCTTGAACAAAAGATCAAAGCCAGGCATACACATGAATTAATATGAATTTAAAATATATTATGAATTATGACAGCAAAAGAGTTATGATTTCCATATACCAGCAGTCACCATTTGCTTAAATGTGTTCCTGTGTGTGTGTTACAGGTATAGGTGACCTTGGAGGTCAGAAGAAGGTGTTGGGTCTAAAGAGGCAGTGCATCTTTTTTATGTTTCTTTGATATTTTCATGTCTTTTTAGTAAAATATTGCTCAAATTCCTTAACCATTTAACCAGTTGTGTGGATTCTTACTGAACTGGTAAGATCACTTCATATGTGCTGGGTACAACTTCCCCTTATCACACAGTCTTATCTGTTCCGAATTCGTGTTTAATTTTCATCTCTGCACCAGGATCTTTTGAAGATCAGGAGTTTCAAATGTTTGGGGAAGACCTACTCACTTGAGTTCTGATCCCAACCAGCCATGTGAAAACAGCTGGGAGGGTGACATACTGGGAGGGGAAGACAGGAGGATCCCAGCGGTTCACTGAGAGACCCTGAATCCAAATATAAGGCAGAGAAGGAATTGAGGAAGACGCTGCAATGTTAACCTCTGGCTTCTACATGTACTTCCATAGGTGAGTGCAATGGCACAAACACACACATGCATACACCTTGTATGCCTACTCCCCCGCTTACATGTACACATACACCCTCATACACAGGTATGTGCACCCCCATCCACATATGCCCACTCAGACACACACACACACATACACGCACACACATGCACGTACACACACCCTCACACATACACACACACACACACATGCACATACACACACCCACACACCCACCCACCCACACACACACACACACACACACACACGTACATACACCACAACCTTAATCAAAAGGATCTTTTCCAAAGTCAATGAAGATGCATACATCACCTTGGTTAGGAGAGGCTCCCTCTGACAGACCGTATCGGCATCCTGCAGGGCTTGCTCATAGTTCTTTGTGTTTAGATACAACTCAGCTCGCAGCAGCAGGAGCGAGCTGTCATCGGGGGCTGAAAGACGGGAGATACAAGTGACTGCATTTTAAAGATACATTGCTTTCTGTCATTAAAATATTAAATTGGAAAATTAGGACAAAGACAAACGCAAAACAACTCCCAGTGATCACATGTTGAGTTCACTGGGTACATGAATACAATTCACAGAGTTTCTTTCAGGAAAACAAAAATAAGTCTCCAAAACACATGAGGGAAAAATAATATTAATCCTTCAAGCGCACTAGAACAATCTCCAATAATAAATCAAGTAATCCTGTAATCCGCTAATCTGAATCCAAAAAGCTTTCAAATCTGAGTTTCGGGTTTGGGGGGTATTTCAGACTTTGAATTTTTAAATAAGAATTGGAAGACACTCAAAAAGAGAAAGAGAGCCTTTATAAAATGTGAAACACTTATAGATTCAACTCTTTTGGACTACAGAAATTCATGCTGGAAAATTAGGTATTTAAAGGGGACATATGAAATACATTTCATGGGAAGCACACTAAGAAATTCATGCTTTAAAACCTAATAGAGAGGGATGGGGTGATGGCTTGGTCAGTCAAGTGCTTGTCACCCAAGCACTGGGACCTCAGTTTGAACCCCAGCACCAAAGTCACAAGGGAGGGTGGGTACAGTGGAGTATGCCTGCAGTCACAACACTGGGGAGGCAAAGGCAGGAGGCTCTCCAGTCCACCCAATCCAGCCAAAGTGGAGCCCCAGGTTCAGTAAGAGGCCACGGATCAAAACTAAGGTAGAGAGCAACTGAGAAAAATACCTGACACCAGCTTCCGGCTTCCACATTCATAGGCATGAACACAATGCACACACAGCAACACATGCATACACACGTGCCACACACCAAGAAACTGGATCAGAAGAGTAAAACATAATTTTTCCCTACCTAACCATGTGCATGCCAATTCACCTATATTATATACACCTCAGAACCTTCTCAACTTTCCTCCCTATGTTCCTCACACAGAAGATACACTACAGTCAAACACAGCTCTCTGAGATGTCCAGAAGTGGTTCTCTCTGTGGGATGCCCTATAGCTCATTACAAGTGTTGATGTGGCAGGGTGACAAGGAAACTCGACGAGGCCAGAGCTTCCAAAAGTTGAAACTCCACAGCTGGTTTTCACACCTCTGGACTCTGCTCACTCCACCCCATCTTCTCAGGATCCTCGCAGAGGGGCTACAGCAGATCTTTTCCCTTGATAACCGTGCTGAGCACTTAGGTATACCCCTTTCTCTCTTCCTGAACACAGCTGTGGACTGCCTTGAAGCCCTGACTTTGACCTCCAAAGTCTCACCTGGGCCTTTGCAAAGGTCAGCAGACTTCCTATTAGTTTATGTAGAAGCCAAGCAAATGTACAGGGGAAAAACTCATGTAAGACAGGGCTTAAGGCATGGTAAACTGCAAAAAACATTGTGTTATGAACACATGTTACTGAGAGACGTGGCAGGGAAAGGGTGGGGCAATAGGGAGCAGGAGTCATAGGAAGATAGTCACAAGGTTTTGGTTTTTTTGTTTTTAAACTGAAACAAATCAAAACATAACAGTAATTGTTTCTCACTGATCTGTGATTGAAACACCCTGTTGTTAATTTTTAAGACAAGGTAAACAACACAAAACGGCTTCAGGAAGTTCCTGAAACTGGCAAGACTTACTAACCCTTCCCTCTCAGTAGTAAACAATAAAGACCGCTGAGAGTCAAGCTGCCAGGAGGACTCTCAGACAAGCTACAATGCAAAGGAGACTCTCAGATAAGCCAAGCTGCAAGCAAGAAACAGGAATCAGCCAAGAAGCCTGGAAGGAACAGAACCCAGCCAAGCTGCCTTAAAGAGGTGTAGACAGAGCCACCTGGAGCTGCCTTCAAGTTGTACAGTATAGTGTAAATATCCAGTTTTTATGAGATGTCACCCATTCGCTGGTATGGGCTTTGGTGATCCACCTGTCTTTGAGTTATTTCTGCTCCTGTAAGTAACCCCTCCTTTAAGTAAAACTCATTGGTTCTACGATTTGAACTTTGACTGTATCTGCGTTTTGGTGTGTGTTACATCTCCCTAGGAAAATTCTTGTTACAAACCACTCTCTTGATCATCTCTGGTAACAGGTCTATTATGAAACTCTCTGGTAAAGGGAGAATATTTCCCTTAAGGCTCAAAGCTCTCCCATCCACACCATCAAGTGAATATGTCCATCTGTTAGCTATGATCCATAATGAGATCTTAGATGTTCCATCTTCGAAAATGTACATCCAAACTGAGAGGCACTGACAGAGCTCATAAGCAAGTGATCTTTAAAAACTTTTTATTGTGTGTGTATGGGTGATTTGCCTACATGTAAGTCTGTGCACCGCATGCATGCTTGGTGCCCTCAGAGGTCACAATAGGGCATCAAATCTTCTGCAAATGTAGTTACAGATGGTTGTGTAATGCCTTGTGCACTCTGGAAATCAAACCCAGGTCCTCTGTAAGAGCAGCCAGTACTCTTAACTTCTGAGTCATCTCTCCAGCTCTGGGTATATGATTATTTTTTTTAAAAAAAGTATGCTTTCTTTACTTTTGGGAATTTCATACATTTATATGGTGAAATATGATCATATCCACCCCATCTCCCTATTCCAACTTCACTAACATCATTCTCAGCTTCATAATGTCTTCCATGTACATATAGCCAACATTCATTGTATTCTGTGGGTTATAAGAAAAATTAACAAACATATTTTAAGGAAACTTTTCACTGCCTGGAAGAAAAAATATTCTTAATTCTCAGGGGATCTGCCTTTTTAAAAAATGTGTCATTATATGGGAAATATAACTGCAAACTAATAACTTCTATGTGAAAGATTAAGTAAAAGTTCCTTAACTGCACAATTACATGCATTTTGATATCTCCCCTTTGGAGGTTTTGAGAACTATAAACAAAAGAAGCTACTGGAACTGCAAACTGAGTTTCAAAGACAAATCATCTATGAACTTCATACCCTGTGCTCACTACATTAGTTTCTCATGGATATGGATCCTGACCATTTGCCACTGGTTTTCCTGAGTTTCCTACACAGACATACCATACATAGATAAACAGATTTCTTTTACTGTCATATTTCCAGCCCCCATTTCCCTTCACTCTCACGTTGCAAAGGTATTGATAGCAAATCCACATCCTCTTCCACAATAGGGATTTAATCCACAGGCCCACACATATCCCCCCTCCCATTCTTGACTTCAAAAGACTACATCTAGGCCTGGGGAGATGGCTCAGTAGCTGAGAGCACTGCTGCTCTTCCAGAGGACCTGGGTTCAATTGCCAGCACCCGCACGGTGGTTCACAACCATCTGCAACTCCAGTTCCAGGGGGTCTCATGCCCTCTTCTGGCCTCTGGTGGCACGACACGCGCATACATGTGAAACGGTGATGCCATCTTGCCCTGATTTTATTTCATGACATTCCTCAGCTTGCCACCCCAATAACCACATCCGCATTGGTAATGCTTTCTGTGAGACTGTCCGTGACCCTGAACATGGTCTAGACATATTAACCAGAATAGCTGATGTCTGTGAAGACTAAAACTAAAATAACTACGTGGAAGTGAAAATTAGAAATAATTGCCATGTAGTGTCTGGAAAATACCATTAAGCCCTGCAAAAAGGCAGATGTTGTTCTGACCCCCTCCCTCCCTCCTGGACACTGATGTAATTATGGGTTTTGTCTTGAAAATCCGGCACTCTTGAGACCCACACCAAGAAACTCCAAGGCATGAGTCGGCTCTTGATCATCAGCTAAAAAAAGTACCCAATACTTCTAATTGGTTCAGTCAGTGTGGTTGTCATTAACTATCCCACGTGGGTCATTCTGCATGCATGCAAAATATCCACACCCATTAAATTAAAAAATAAAGACTCTGCCCAATCACTGGTAACGTTAACTGGGCTTCGTTCCAGAGGGTGCTGTGTTCCAGGTTGTTGCAGGATCTGGAGGTGCCTTGCACTATCCTGTGGACTATGCTAGCTGTATTGTCTCTATTAAACTAGGTTTATGTTCTTAAAACAGGCCGCTAGAGTCAGATACAAAGGCATTTAGTGAGGACTCTCATCCACGTCATATATCATGCCGGTCCTCACATTTTGTATTATAAAAAGAGAGGGGAATATTCCCGTGTTTCTTCATAGTCAGAGCTAGAGAGGAATCAAGCTTTGAGAGTCCTTGTCTTGCTGGCATGAGACAGTCCCTCAGCAACATCCCAAGTTCTTTCAGATTACTTTTCACACTAACCTACTGGGCCAGTTTTGATCTTTCATACAATATAAGAACATCTACTTTATACTGTTCAACCATCTGTTATAAACTGGTGTGTTCAACTGCACCTGCTTCATCTCTGATGCTAGTGGTACTTTATGCTTTTTCTTTATGCCTTCTTGGCCATTCTTGGCCTTGGTGATAACAGCTTAACTTGTTAAGCAGTTTTATTTCTTAACAGAGTAATTATAGAGCAGCTTGTGCAGAGGCAACCAAAACATAAAGTTTCGTGACAAATTATACAGACATTAGAGGCAAGCCCTGAATTTGAAATCCATTTTCACCACTATTCATTATTCCTCTGCTTACACCGGCTATGGTAGCTTAGTCTAGAAGTTGACTGGGTTAAGTAGATCTTTGCCTTCTTTCAAATCATTCTTTTCTAACAAAGCATCTGAGTTTACTCCTCACACTCCAAAGGCTGCTTTTCCTGGCGTCCAAAATTAATCAGGTTCACTTCCTCATATGGACGTTAAATGAAGCGAACCATTTTCTAAGCAATAAGACTTATACTAATAAAACTAAGGGAAACTGTTCATAAATCACTCAAAAAAAAATCAACAGTTGGGGAAAGGCAACTTTTAATCCTTTTGTGTGGAGAGAGAACATGGCAGACATTGTATGTGTGTATCTGCCCAGTAACCGACCCCAATTTAAGAAGGGTCACCAATGAACTCCGCTGTAAGTTCTGCTGTAAATGCTCCACGTG